GCAGTTTAGGCTCGTGCGGACAAGGAGCATTGGTGTTGCCTTTTATGCTCGTGCAGACCAGGAGCTTTGTGCCATGCAGTTTAGACTCGTGCGGGCGAGGAGCTTCGTGTCCTACAGTTTAGGCTCGTGCGGACAAGGAGCTTTGTGTCTTGCAGTTTAGGCTCTTACAGACAAGGAGCTTTGGTTCGTCAAGCGATCTGAGAGTCGTTCCTCGCAATCTTCATAGCAAGGAGCCTTGACTGAGTAGTTGAAGAAGTCTTCTGGGAAGATGTCACGCATCGTGATGGGGATGGATGATCTTCGTGTCAAAGTTTCATTATCTCCAACACTTTCACATTGTTCTGGAGGTGAATAGGAGCTGTTTTGCCCCCTTTCCCATTGGTGAGCTTGTGGAGAAGACATATGCTTCTTGTGCAATTTCTTCGGAGTGACATAAATCCATCCTTCAACTTCACTCGGCTTGACTAGCATGTTTTTGGAGCATGCCCCCAGCGATTGAGGTGAAAATTTTGAGTTGACAGAGCCGGAAGTGACGTCTTTTTCCAGGATTTCGTCTTCTTTGTCTTCTTGGGTTTGTTGCCGTGAAGATTGGCCGATGTAGATGATGGTGCGCCTCCTTACCTTCAGTGGTCCTTTTGTGTCGACTTCCAAAGTTGCTTGGCGCTTCATCCTTGAAGGAATCAAGCTTTGAACATCGTCTTTTCCTGCTAGACTATCGAGCTTCTCTCCCTTTGGCGTTGTCTTCCTGTTTCTAGAAGGCTTCTTAGTTTCTTCAAGTCTGTCCAAAGCCGACCGTTGCGGAGGAGATCTAGCTGTGCCGCTTTGTTTCTTGGGCTTTGATAACCTTTCAAAGACTGATCTTTGCGGTGTTGGCGTCTCAAGCCTTTTGAAGACAGAAGTTTGGTCTCGATCACTGATGCGATCAAGTGCTGCAATTCTAGGTTTTGAATAATTCAGTCTTTCGAAGACTGAAGTTCGAGGGGCGGGTTTAGGCTCCTCTTTTGGCCTTGTGGCTTGTGGTCTTGGCTTCCTCGTTTTTTTGTAGGTCACCGATGTCCGCCATTTCTTATCACCAGTAGATGCATCTTGGTTGCTTTCCCCCGGTGATGGTTGTGTAGGAGGTGCCATGTGACTTGAACATTGACGGGAATGATCATGCATGCTTCGGAGATGCACATGATCGAGTGATTCAAACACGATAGTAGTAGTGTGTGCCGCCACCGTGTCTTCGAGGTCAAGCTCGATTTCCCCTTGCTGTGCTAGCTTCAGGATGAGATCTTTCAGTACGAAGCACTTTTCCGTTGGATGACTAATGAAGCGGTGGAATTTACAGTATCTTGGGTTGTCGGTACGATTCATCTCTTCTGGCCGTCTGCACTCAGGCAAACTGATCACCTTCTTGTCCAACAGGTCATCCAGCATGGCAACTACATCAGAGTCGGGGAATGGATAAATCTTCTCCTCAAGCTCCTTCAAAGTGCGTCTACGCATCTCTTGATCACGAAAAGCTTCGGTTTGAATCGCCTTGCCTCGTGTGGATATTTTGACGGGAGCTGTGTTGACTGTCATCGCTTCCTTGGTGGGTTTCCATGCGGCCTTTTCCACCTTTGTCCCAAGAACTTTGTCGTTCTTGTAGTCGGCGATCGGTTCTTTCTTCCCATGATGGGCGATGCTCAACTCCATGTCATGGGCGCGAGTAGCCAATTCCTCGAAGGTCCGCGGTTTAATGCCTTGAAGGATGTATTGCAAACCCCATTGCATGCCTTGAATACACATCTCGATTGAAGAAATCTCGGAGAGTCTGTCCTTACAGTCGAGGCTTAGATTACGCCATCGGTTGATGTAGTCCATGACTGGTTCTTCCTTCCATTGCTTCGTGCTCGTCAGCTCTAGCATGCTCACAGTGCGGCGGGTGCTATAGAAGCGGTTGAGGAATTCCCGCTCTAATTGCTCCCAGCTGTTGATGGACTCAGGTTCTAGGTCTGTGTACCACTCAAAGGCGTTTCCTTTCAGCGAGCGCACAAACTGCTTGGCGAGGTAATCCCCTTCGGTTCCTGCGTTGTTGCAAGTTTTCAACGAAAGTGGGCAACGTGCTGTTTCGGGTTTCCCTTTCCATCAAATTGCATGAACTTTGGTGGTTGATAACCCCTTGGCATCCTTAAGGCGTCGATCTTCTTTGAATACGGCTTTGAGTACAACCCGGAGGTATTTGAGCTCCCTTCGTACTGTGCCTTGATGGTGTTGGTGATCATCTCTTTGCAGCTGCTGGATAGAAAGAGATCCCATGAGTGCCCGCTGCTTGGTCTGGCTCGGGCTTCGCATCGTTTTTTTCCACCTGAGGCTCATCTTCTGGGTTAGGGTTCTCGTCGTCCTGTGGCTCCAGTCGGCTGACGAGTGCAGCGATTTGCAAGTCTTTTTCTTCCACAGTTCGGGTTAGCCTTGCTATTGCTTCATTCATCTGAGCCAGTTGTTCTTCAACGGAGGTAACGCCGATAGTCATGACTTGTGCGACCAATAGACGTGACTTTCCTTTAGACATCCAGGATGCTGATGAAGAACGTCGTTGGCTGCTTTGGGATGTCATCTTATGTGCCTCAACATCATGCTTCGGTGCCCCCAGCGAGGTCAGGTTGATGACAGACTCACACCTTGGATGCTCCCCTTGCTCTTTTAACGGCACCAATTTTGAAGTGGCATGTTGAGGAGCGGTTGTGGCGCCAATGGATTGTCCGTTTGCGGCAGAAGTGCTTAGGATCCTTCCCTCAGTGGTTGCGAGAATGGCTTGTCCCTTGCTTGATGCCATTGACTTTGAGGTGTGCTTGGATTCCTTGAACGGAGAAAGAGATGAGAGGTAGAGATTGTCCCACTGGGCGTGCCAATTTGTGAACACGGAAATTTCCTGAAACGAAAGAGACAAGAACAACGTGCACAAACAAAATATTTGTATTTTTGATGATTTTGGGTTACAATCTCTCTCTATTTTGATCCTCTGATTCGATCTCCGTAAAGTGTGTATTTGTGGATGTGTGATTGATCCAAAGGGCCGTTGGGCTTGATCTAAGGATGAACGTTCTTCAAGGGCCGTGGACTTGATCTTGAAGGTGGATTTGAGCGGATCTTCAAAGGGGCTTTTGGGCTTGATCTTTGAAGAACAGTGATGAACGGATCTCCAAGGGCTTTTGGGCTTGATCTTGAAGAACAGTGATGAACGGATCTTCAAAGGCTTTTGGGCTTGATCTTGAAGAACGGTTGGATGTGTGGATTTGTCGACGTTGTTGATCCAAAGGGCCGTTGAGGCTTGATCTTGGATGAACGGATGATGAACGATGGTGCTTTCTTCAAGGGCCGTCGGGGCTTGATCTTGAATTGGTGGATGGTTGATCCAAGGGCCGTCAGGGCTTGATCTTGGAAGAACAATGAACGAAGAACGAAGAACGAAGAACACTTTCTTCAAGGGCCGTCGGGGCTTGATCTTGAATTGGTGGATGATTGTTGATCCAAAGGGCCGTTGGGGCTTGATCTTAGGATGAACGATGAACGAAGAACGCTTTCTTGATTCTTCGGGAACCTGGATGCTTGAGAGCTTCGGAGTTTCAGAGCTTCAGAGCTTCAAGAGTTTTGCCTAATGATTTTGGTCCCCTCAAATGAATGAAATGGGCTTGTATTTATAGAATTTTCCAAGGCCTAATTTTGAATATAATATCCCAGATGAAATAAGTCGTTTCTGCCAGGTGTTGACACGTGTCCTATTTGATGACTTTTCCAACTCATTTCAATTTTCGTTTAGTCACACGCTACGTGTAAAATTTATGTAATACATGAGCGTTGACACTTTGATTTATCGGTCAACATTTATTTACCGAAATTTCGATGTCTACACCTTCGAATCTGTGGAGATTGCCACACGGCCACCAAGCTAATATCGAGAATCTACGAACGGGAGATAATTGTAAGAGACTTGAATCGCTTCCATCATTTTAAAGATGGGAACTGTTCCTGTGGAGATTATTGGTGATAAAGGAGTTTAGTTTCGCATTATCAAAGGTACGACTTGTTCGAAAGATGCAAAGGGCACTGTTACCATCAACCATATCCAAATCATCAAATTCTCATGCAAGCTTCCCACTTTAACCATGTCGCTAAAGAGAGAGCTAAACCAAAACCCCCGAACAAATATTTCGAGTGACTGCTACGAGTTGAGAATTGTCGCTCAGCAACGGAACACATTCACGAACCCCTCTTGGAAGATTGGAAAGCTCCTCCATAATGTGTCATGGGCTTAACTGAGTAATACGCGTGTGAAGAGGACAGGCTGAGTCTAGGACGGTTTGTTTCTTGTTACGTTGGAGGTTCATCAAGTTTGTCGGAGACTTTGAGTAGACAATTTAACTGAGTTATATTCCAGCTTTGTTTGTGCAAAGCATAAGGCTTTCGGGGATGAAAAGATGGCTAAAACGTTCTGGCGCTGCCATTTTGTCTATGAAGATTATTGTAGTGGTGAGATAGGGACTTGTGTATAAGTTTTGGTGCTAATTGTGTGGGATTATTTTAGTGAATCCGGTTTCATAAGCAGAATACATTGTCAATCCTCTTCGAAGCTCACAAAAACCATGGTTTGATGGCAGATCGGAAACTAAGACGACGTTATCCAGTGAAGTTGAGTTATATTGTACAGAAAGACAATGTCCGGCGGACTCCGGCCAAGGCATTTTGATGAGACTAGTGTTTTAGGCTTTTAGCTGTCTTCTAGGTATACATGTGGCTCCATAGCGGAACTAGTCATTGGCTACTCGTTTCTTTCCTACCGAACCAGAGAGCCGAATGTTATGTCAAGAGGACCAATAACGGTGGGAGTAGTAACGAGAATGATTCCGAGATAGAATGGATCTTCCTGAATTCATTCATCACATTTTTCACACGGACGAAAACAATGAGGGATTTCGTTCTCATGAACAACAATGAATGAAAACATGATTGAAACAAAATGCTAAAAACTCAAATAAGGATGCAAAATCCCACTTTCCATTTGTACATCGAAGCCGTTTTCTGTACTGTTCAGTTTCTGCACATCTCATATAATTTACAGACATTTATCGATAGAGAGCGATTTATTTTATTGTTTTTCCAACCAGCGCTCTCTAATCTGTATTTCACTGAAATTCCCTAAGAAAATTGACTAAAACTCAAGCATACTCCTAACACCTTCTGCGTAATACTAAGTTCGATGTCCAAACAAATATAGCTAAACCAGAACCTTTTTACTATACCCTTAGTTCTCAAATTGGTAATGGGAGTGATGGCAATGGCTTGACAAAAGCTCTTCGAAGAGTACACAGCCGCCAATTGTCATTACACCGATTCTTGTACCAACGTTCTCTAGCGTTGTCATTAAGAACAGCAATCACCATTGCAAGGAAATCGATCTTCTTGTTTCTGCTTCAAAATGTGTCTCTTCACTTCTACAGATCCACTGTCTAGTAAACTCGGCACCTCCAGCATCTGTCAAAATATTAGGATTGTAACGAAGTTAAATGAAAGCCTTGAACCATGCCGTGGGAGTTAGGGAATTATTGCAGCAAACTCGACAGAAAATCAGTTGGCTCGTATGTCTGAAGTCGAAAAAATGCAAGCCTTTCCAAAAGAATATACCTTCAGTGTGAGATCTTTAAAGCATTGTTGAACATTTTCTCTAGTTTTCGCACTGCATTCAAGAAACAAACATTTATGCTCCTGTGCAAGAGCCATGCCCTCTTCTCGAGTTACAGCCCTCTCGTTTTCCTGGAAAGTGTTGAACAATATAGGAATCAGCAACAGCAGCTTCGAGAAGCAGGAAAACTCACAGCATATACTAAATGAAACTCAGAGCATATACTAAAAGAAAGAAGTATGTAATCCATAATTTAAGAAACCACAGCACAAACAAACTTACCCTGTCAACTTTATTCCCTACTAGAATTTTGATACACTCGGGATTAGTGGAGTACGTCTCTACTTCCTTCGCCCAGATATTCAACAAGTTTGTAAAGGTTTCTCGCTGTGTCACGTCATACACTAAGATTGAAATCAAATGGCAAATCAGTCAGATATTTTTCTGAAGCAGCTACTTTCGAAGCAACAGAAAGAAAAACAACTGGAGTGGAAGAGTCAGAGTCAAAAAGAGATGCGTTATGAACTTCTAAGTCACCTCTATTGTGAAAAAAAATATATATGTGTATATATATATATATATCAAAGTGCAACGGAATATTATGTTTTCAATGGCCAAGCACCCTTTTCCTTTGCTTCTGATAGTTGAAAACCACTCAAAAAATGCGTAATGTAAGGTTTACACGCAATGACATACGACATACGACATACGACATACGTACCAAGAATGATACCATGTGCACCTCTGTAATAAGAGCTTATTACCGTTCCAAACCTCTCCTGTCCCGCTGCAAAACCAAAAGAAAAACACTTCACGAATAAACGAGGAGAATATTTTTTCTTGAAGTCAAGTATAAAATCAACAATTTGCTTAAAGGCCAAGTAAAATCAACGTTTTAGTATTGAAAGAAAACTAATGAGGAGAATATATTCCCTTGTTGAAGTCACAAGGAAGTTGACAGATGATAGTTAGGTCCACTGAATACCTGTGTCCCAGATTGTAAGCTTCAATCTATTTCCGCCAACTAAAATCTGCTTGACCTTAAAATCCACACCTTCAAATGGTTGGTAAAGCACATCAGCACCAAATATAATGACAATCCGAAAATTACAGTCAATCAAGAATTTCACAATTCGCCTCGAAACTTCCACATGAAAAGAGAGGAAATTAGTCCGCCGGCTAAGAGCAAGGCATATGCCGGAAACCTAACAAATGTATAGGAATCACAAGGAGTTCTGCTCCGTTTAGGGAAGTGAGTAATTACACTGAAATCGGTATTTACGAGATGCAAGCCAGAAAAAAGCTATTATTGTCCCCAACTACAATTGCATGATAACTGTTTGAGGACATGAAAATATAAGCAGATATACATGCAAACTATATTTCTAACCCTAAATACAGAAATTATCTTATGCAAACCGTTGCTTAATTGAATATTTTTCTAGATGATTTACACAAAATTCATCTAAACCGCGAGAAGAGTGATTCAAACTTAGAGGGAGCACACTTCTCGAGCTAACTTGACTTACCTTGACTAACCCCAGGTCTAGATGGTATTTGCAACATAAAGAAACAAAAACTGGGTGTTTAAAAAGAGTTAATTAGAACCAAAATAAGCACTTGAACATGTCACTGATTCATGAATTTCAAAAAAAAAAAAAAAAAAAAAAGATGCAAGAACTAACCAATATCAAATGAAAATATCGTGGGAGATAAACTTTAAAAAATTACCAACGGTGGGAGGTAAGTCTTGAACAAAAGTGGAGATGAAGCTGAGGAGAAGGCTGCTCTTTCCAACACCAGAATCACCAGTCAGCAAAATCTTGAACGAGTAATCATAATTGTGGCTCCCTCCTTTTGGTGAAGAACCCTTCATTCTTTGGTGCTGGTTTCAACTCAATTTACACCCATCAAATTAATTAAATAACAACAAAAAGCTTTCACTATTTCTCAATTCTTGTTTAGCTAAGTGAAGGTGGTTCTGTTTATTTTTTGATAAAACACAAGAACGAGAGGAGGGGGAGAGAGAGAGATGGAAAATGGGAAACTTCCTGAGGTTGGTGGGGTTGGAGGGTAGGACTGTAGCATACGTGTAAAGTGTACAACGAGATCTGGTTATGTTGTACAAATGGCTGAATCATATATTAATCATTACACAATAATTTATAAAACAATTTTCTTTGACACAAATATATTATACTTAAAGAAAATAAGAATTGAGTCAGAGTTCAAACTCAACACAAATATATTAAACATCCTCCTCGTTATTTATGAACTCAAAACTCTTTACTCGTTGTGTAGTGAAAATAAATATAACATTAAACTATGGTACCACCGATATTAAAACATAAAATTAGAATGATTTGCAGTCCTAAAACAGTGTGATTAGTGTAAAATGGATTACAGTTTAAGTTAATGTGGTTGGACAAAATTCTTCTGTCCTTGGAACGGCAAATTTGGAACTTTGTTTGACTCACTCAGCCATCAGCCCCCACGCGCCTTCTCAGCCGGAGTTTTGTTATTTAATAATTTGTCTCGTTGTGAATGAAATGCCCCTAACACTGTCGCAATTTAGTCAAAGTCTTAAACTTTCAACTAATCACTCAATTTTGTAGCCAATAATGTAACGTGTTTTAGTGACTGTTGAGAATCTTATCCACTCGACGGTCCACTACGGTAAAAAGACGTGATTGCATAAAGAATTAAAGATAGTGGAAACTATATTTACTCTTTTCATATTGGATGCTCAATTATTTCTCTATTTTCAATCTACTTTAGCTTGAGTTTAAAACATCGTGGATCTATTCTAGTCATTTCGATGAATTTTGTGTTAGATGTTTGAGTTTTATTTGTTGCTTGTTATTACTTGGTATTATCATCTAGTAAATATAATGTTGGATTTCTATTAATATGCCTTGAATTCGAAACTTCTCCATCTCTTAAATTAATGTAATAGTTATGAATCATTCCCCTCCTCTATATGATGTAAATTGATTTAATTCAATAGTATTAAATGCAATGCAATGTAATAAAATTGAAATCTCATAATCTATTTTAAAATATCGGTGATGTTCAAACAGATAAAAGATGTAAATTGATTTAATTCAATAGTATTAAATGCAAGGTAGTAAATTTGAAATCTCGTAATCTATTTTAAAATATCTGTCCTATCTTAAAAGGTGTAAAGTGTAATTCCAATTTTTTTAACTCATATTGCTTAATACAAATGAAATTAATGGTTGGAGTCTTAATACAAATGTAAGAAGAAAAACAATATTAAAAGAAAACAAAAATGAATGGAGTCTTATCTAAACTGGAAACAGTGTTTAACATAGGCTTATTATATTAACACCCCACAAATTGTTGAATAAACTATACATACTTAATACACCTCATATTTATTTTTTCAATTAAAAATTATCTTAATACACCCCACATACTTCCCCATAATACCCTCATACCCCACATTCTTAATATACACCTTACATTTTCTACATGCACCCCATATTTTCTATACACCCCACATTTCTCAAATCTTATAAAGCTTTTAATTTGGACAAATAATGCCAACTAAAAGTTTGACAAATAATGCCGCCTAAGATTTAAAGCATATGTGAGTTGTTTTCAATTACACCATTAAAACCCATGTCGTCTGTTTTTAATATTTGGTGGTAATTTTAGGTGTTTAATTCTTCTTGTAATCCTTGTGATCCCTAAAAGATGAATACGAACATAGAAGCTTAAATAACGCATTAAAAGCAAGATTAAATAATTATCGATGTTGTCAAAATCACTAAAACAATAAATAATATGAAGTCTACCTCATGTGAAGTTTCCGAAACATCAATTTCGTGTTTCACTCGTCAAAAATAATTTTTCTCAATCAACATGTTTGTAGTTTCATTGGTTAGGGTTTTGTTCAACAATGGAGGGTCGAATGGGTTTTGATAGTTGAAGAAGATAAATAATACGTTAAAAGTGATTTGGGGTGTATATAGAATTTTTTATTTTTTTTAACCTAACAATGTCAAAATTGTCATTGCATAGTAGGATAAATAAGTTATTTAATATTAAATTTTAATGTGAGGTGCATTTAACATTTTGTGGGGTGCTAATATAAAAAGCCTTTAACATATTGATATTTGTAAAAATATCAATATGCAAATTTGTAGAAATATTAACGGATATATCAAACATTGATATCTATATCGGTTGTTTTCGATAGAAATGGTAGAATTTAAAATGAAACTTTAGAGATTGTTAAACATTTGGATGAAAGAATATAAAAGTTTATTCAATATTTAACAGATTGTTTGTAACATCCCATATTGCCCAGGGGTGAGGATCTTGTAAGCCTTATATGTATATTCTCATCTCTACCTATTACGAGGCATTTTGGGAGCTCACTGGCTTCGGGTTCCATCGAAACTCCGAAGTTAAGCGAGTTCGCGTGAGAGCAATCCCATGATGGGTGACCCACTGGGAAGTTCTCGTGTGAGTTCCTAGAAATAAAACCGTGAGGGTGTGGTCGGGGCCCAAAGCGGACAATATTGTGCTACGGTGGAGTCGAGTCTGGGATGTGGTGGGGCCTGGGCCGGGATGTGACAATTTGGTATCAGAACCAATCCCTGGTTGGATGTGTGCCGACGAGGACATCAGGCCCCAAAGGGGGGTGGATTGTAACATCCCACATCGCCCAGGGGTGAGGATCATGTAAGCCTTATATGTATATTCTCATTTCTACCTAGCACAAGGCCTTTTGGGATCTCACTAGTTTCGGGTTTAATCGGAACTCTGAAATTAAACGAGTTCGTGCGAGAGTAATCTCATGATAGGTTCTTGTGTGAGTTCCTAGAAACAAAACCGTGAAGGCTTGGTCAGGGCCCAAAACGGACAATATCGTGCTACGGTGGAGTCGAGTCGGGGATGTGGTGGGGGCCTAGGCGGGGATGTGACATTGTTAGAAATTGACATTATATGTCAATTTTAGCCTAAATTGAAGAACAAAACCGTGAAGGCTTGGTCAGGGCCCAAAACGGACAATATCGTGCTACGGTGGAGTCGAGTCGGGGATGTGGTGGGGGCCTAGGCAGGGATGTGACATTGTTAGAAATTGACATTATATGTCGATTTTAGCCTAAATTGAAGAGCTTCTTCGATATGAAATTACGTTTAAAATTCACCTCCATTTTCATACATTCTCTAGTTTTTTTTTAATATATATATATATTTCTATTAAAATATCAACTGCATCAAATAAATTTTAAACACTGACTTCAAATTCCATATATGGACTGAGTATGCTCTTACAAGAGTGGTGACTGGTGAGGTAACCTAAAGCAACAATATTATATATTTTTGAATGATTTTATGAAAAATCAATAAAAAGTTATAAGATTAACAATAGATCAACAATATTTATGTTAATTGTAAATAGGTCAATCATGTATTGTGATACTTAAATGCATTTAAAATAAACAAAAATTACAAAATTTGTCACTACAGCTGGCACCCACTTCAACTAACACTCCATTTCTCATAGTTTTATATTCGGAATATGTCAATACGGATCAGACATTGCATTGCAATGTCTGTTTCCTGATTCTGTTTTTTACATTTAGATTCAGACAATGCAACGTAGTGTTTATTTACTGGTTTCGTTTTTTCCATCACTCATATGCTTCCTACATATTCCTTTGTACATTTAGATTCAGACACTACAATGCAGTGTCCGTTTCCTAGTTTTGTTTTTCATTTTTGGATTCAAACGCTGCGTTGCAGTGTCTGTTTGCTGGCTCTATTGTTTCCATCACTCACGCATTTCCTACACTTCACACCTCATGCGACTTCTGATTTTTACATTTAGATTCAGACACTGTAATGCAATGTCTATTTCCTAGCTCTGTTTTTTACATTTGGATTCATACACTGTAATGCAGTGTCTATTTCCTTATATATACACACACATTTGGATTTGGACATTGCAATCTAGTGTCCGTTTCTTGGTTTTGTTTTGTTTTTGTTATTGTTTTTTTTTTTTTTTTTTTTTTGAGTTGAGTAAACTCATCCATGTAAACGAATGGTTAGAGACAGTGATAGAATATACATGTTCTAGCTATTTATAGGATTCAGATCCTCTCAAGATCAGTTTCATAGGAATAGAAATCCAACGGCCGAAGCCACTTTCCCCGCCTCTCTTTCCCCTCAACTTCTCTTTCTCCGACGCACCCCCACACCCATCGTTGTTAACAACCCCAAATTCAATTGCAGGTCATCTGTGCTTAAAGTCAAATTTTTTTTGGGGCTCCCTTACTGTTTTAGCTTTTTATTTGTCATCTCTTTCTTCTTCTTCATCTTTGAGATTTCTCCCTCTATAATACTTCCATAGTTATGAAAAAAATCTCTGCAACCAAAAGACATTGGTTTGCACAACCCCTCTCTTTATTGTTTTGTTAACATCGACTGAGACTTTAAGATCAAGGGACTTGCAATTGAGGGATGTGGCGATTATGGGATTGATTTTGGAGAGGGTAAGGTGAGGGGCCTGCAATTGGTGGTTGCAGCGGTGTTGGGCTGATTTTGAGATGGAGTTGAATTGAATTTGAAATTTGGGGAGTTGGTGGTTCAAGGTTGAGAAAGAGAAGAGTTGAGGGGAAAAGAGAAGGATAAGAGATTTTGGCCATTGGATTTGTAATCGGCCTGAAGGATCTCCACAAAATTGATCTGGAGAGGATGTAAATCCGTATTTATAATAGCTTATGCCCATATGATATTTATAGAGAGAGAAATAGAGAAGGATAAAATAGTCAAATTCTAACTATTTATAATGACTTAAAGCCTATGTGGCATTCATCATTGAACTATGCCTAATTAATAAAAATAGGGTATTTATCACAAATGGTCCATGAAATTGATTCATTCCATCAAGATGATCCCTGAAATTGAAAATCAATCAATGTAGTCCCTGAAAATGGGTGTCCTAAATCAATGTGGTCATTCCGTCATAATTCCGTAAAAAAATTTGTTATGTGTTGATGTGGCACATAAAT